AGCTTTCAGATGATTTTAAAGGAATTAAAGCATAGCTATTTTAATCACTTCAGAGAAATGAGAAAAGGAAACCATTTGTTGGAATCCTACTGTTGATCGATAATTGCCTTGATGGCAAACTGATGATGAGGTGTGTCCCTAAGAAAACAAGCAGCTCCTTGTTAATGAGCCATCAAGCCTTGCACAATTTTCCTTACACAGGTGTACATTTGCAAAAGGATTTTGGCCATGTCTTTTAAAAACTAACTATAAAAAATACTTGTATCTTCTTGGGAAACAAAGGATTTGGAATGATAACTGCAATTAAACACTTCCTTAAAAGTCACTCTCCTAGCTGTTTATTCTTTATTCTTACCAAAGCAGTAATCTGCTCACCAATGATGGGATCCAGTTCTCCAAAGGCACTCACTCTAGCTATGTGATGGACAGTGAATGTATTTTTTTTAACCAACTGGCATAACGCACTGCATGAAGAATGACAACATATTGGTTTCATCCAAACATCTGGTGCTCCTCTCCACATTCAGGGGTGGGAGAAACATACAAGCAATCCTTGTCTGTAGGATCCTTGTTCATGACTAGAGATGAGCACAAACCTTGGTTCAGAGGTTCATGTTGGTTTGTATGCGTGGCACCACAGGTGCCATACATTCCCTTCACTTGCCTCCCCTGTCAATGACCCACTCACCAGCTGGTGCATGATCCTCTCCTCTTTTTATTTGGCCGTTCAGTCAGTCCCTGGCAGAAGCATGGGACTGCCTCCTTGTCTGAGTGGCCGATCAGCCAAGGAAGTGGGGAAGGGAAGCCTCTGCTCCTGCCAGAGACTGGTCAAACAGCCAAAGAGGAGGAGGAAATGAGCACACTCCAGCTAGTGAGTGGAAGATCCACGTAGGGGAAGACAATGTGCAACATCTATGGTGCCATGTGTACAAACCGTCACGAACCTCCAAACCAAGGTTCATACCCATCTCTAGTCAGGAACAAGGATCCTAGAATTGTGATTTAAGTACCATCATGTTTGCATTATTAACAAGAATTATGTGTAATCAAGTCTATTCTGATGGAGGTAACTTCCAGACGAATATGATGGTACTTAATTCACAATTCTACCTAGATACAAGCTGCTGCCATAGAAATCTTCTGCAGAATTTCCAACTGTTGTCTTGGCTGTTCCTCTCATCTTTCCAGGGTTGTCCAGGTAGAAAGTACGCAGAAGTAGGTTGCCATTTCCTTCTTCTGGGGGGGGGGGCGCCCTGGGACTAAAGTCCACACAGGCTGGCTCTTCTCTTTGGAGGCACAGTGAGGAAACAAACCCCCAACCAGATACAACCAGATTCCTAGCCCACAGAGGTTTTTAACCAGCTAAATGCATTATTTCAAGCTCCTTAACATGATCAAAATCCTCTTAGGGAAATGTTTATGGAAATAAAGCAGAATTGCACTCAAAGGTAGTTGGATCTCTCAAAACCCAATCCAAAATTAACTGCCAAAATGTAAAGAACCATGATTGGTCCAAGCCAGGAAATAAAACATATTTTATCAAAGATAAATTAAGGGAACATTATTTTTCTAGAGACAGTAATTATCTGCTGTTCTTTATTTTCATCATATTTTACAATCCTTCTGAATCCTTCTATAATTCTTCTAAAGTCAGCTGCATAGATATAAACTAGGGAAGAGTAGCCTATGGGCCGCATGCAGGCCACTAATACATTTCTGAGCCTGCCTATGACCAACACCAAATAAAAATAATCATTATTGCTAGCATGGCTTTCTCTTAGCTATTGTCACTTCACAGGAGTTTTCCCCATCTGTTTTAAGAAAGATTTAAGTTGTTAAATGTTTTAATTTTAAAAAAAATCTTAAACTAGCTACGTAGCTTGGAAATCACAAAGGAAGTCTTCAAATGCCAACTGTTCTCTTCAACCAAGACTTCCTCCCTTCCTATTTGGATACAGTCTGTTCATTTTCTAGCTACTAGTCTCAGTAATCAGGTCATTCTGACCCCTGGAGAATCACAGAGACAGAATTCTCAAATACCATTGCTGGTTTAGCTGGCTATTCTCAGTGCCTTGGAAAAAAATAAGTGGAAATACCAGAAATTCTAAAAATAAATAAAATGTTTATTTTTATTTATTTAAAATATTTTACCATACCTTTCTCTTAAAAGAGACCCAAATCAGCTTACAATATAAATATATAAACAAACATACAGACAGACAGACAAACAAACAGTATTAAAAGCTAAGAAGTAACAATATTTTTAAAGAGAATTAAGCAAATATAATATTAAAAATGAGTAGGGGGAAAAAACACATTCCTGTCTTAAGAACTCTTAGACAGCCACTAAGAGAAAAGCCTGACTGAAGGACACACCACACATTCCTGTCTTAAGAACTCTTAGACAGCCAGCCACTAAGAGAAAAGCCTGACTGAACAGAAAGATACCTGCATGCAGAAAGACAGCAAAGATGGGCCTAGCTGGCTTTCTGTGAGAGGCAGTTCCAGAGTCTTGGAGAAGCCTTCTTCCACGTCCTCACCAAATGCACCTGTGAGGATGGTGGACTGGGAGAAAGGGCTCCTTCCTGTCTTAAGAACTCTTAGACAGCCAGCCACTAAGAGAAAAGCCTGACTGAACAGAAAGATACCTGCATGCAGAAAGACAGCAAAGATGGGCCTAGCTGGCTTTCTGTGAGAGGCAGTTCCAGAGTCTTGGAGAAGCCTTCTTCCACGTCCTCACCAAATGCACCTGTGAGGATGGTGGACTGGGAGAAAGGGCTCCTTTTATGATCTTAAGCCTCAGGCAGGCTCATAAAATGGGATGTATTTGAGTTAGCTTGGATCCATGCCATTTAGGGTGTAATAGGTTAAAACCAGCATTTGGATATGCCTGGATATAGATTGGCAGCCAGTGAAGCTGCTATAGCAGGGAGACCATGATTTCTGTAGTCAGTCTCGGTTAACAATCTGGTCGCAGCATCTTGGACCCACTGAAGTTTCCAAACACTATCCAAAGGCAGCCCCATGTAAAGCACATAACAGTAATTTAACTGGGATGTAAACTAAGGCATGTCACAGTAGCCAGTTCAGACACCTCCAGAAACAGGTGCAGCTGCCGTACTAGTTTTAACGGTGCAAATGTACTCCTAGCCATTGCGGAAACCTGGACGAAACACAGGTTGGACCCCTATTCGCTGATCTGCCTTTGAATTGGCAAGGAGCACTTTTAACGGTGCAAATGTACTCCTAGCCATCGCGGAAACCTGGACATCCAGGCTCACGGATGAATTCAGGAGCACGCCCAGGCTGCACTCCTGTGTTTCCAGGGAGAGTGTAACCGTACGAAACACAGGTTGTACCCCTATTAACTGATCTGCCTTTGAATTGGCAAGGAGCATCCCTGTCTTGCCTAGGTTACATTTCAGTTTATTCACCCACATCCAGTCCGTTACTGACTACAGATACCAATCAAGAACCAAAACAGCTTCCTTAGATCTAGATGGAAAGGAGAGACAGAGTTCATCCACATACCAAAACAGCTTCCTTAGATCTAGATGGAGTTCATCCACACTGTGGACTCCAAAACTCCAGGCCAAAACTCCATTTTGGACTCCAAAACTCCAGGCCAAAACTCCAGAGTTTCATGTAGATATTAAATAACATGGGGGACAAAACAGTCCAATGGCCAGGATGTTGAACAGGATTCCCCCAATACCACCTTCTGAGTTTTCCCCTCCAGGAAGGATCAGAGACAACATAAAACAGTGCTTCCAAGTCCCATCCAAGAGAGACAGCCCAGAAGGATCCAATGGTTGATGATACAGAAAGCCACTGAGAGATACAGGAGAACCAACAGGGACACAATCCCCCTGTCCAGTTCCCAGTGTAGGTCATCCACTAAGGTGACCACAGCAGTCTTGGGGATTTGTCACTGCACTTGATTTGATGAATTAGGAATGATTATATGAAATTTTATGCAATGGAATGGAAATACATTTTTAAAAGATGCATCCTTTCTTTATTAGCTATTTATTATTTAAGTGTGTTTTGAAGGAGTCAGGTTTAATAATGAATTGAATTATTTCATCGAGAGAAATAATGATTTTATTGAAGGGGTAAATTTAAAATATTTTAACAATTGGTAAATAAAAGAAAATGTTTATTTAAAAGCAAAAAGCAAAATGTGCTGCCAGGGACTGAACCCCAGGTCGTGAGCACAGGTTTGGTTGCAGTACACCAGTTTAACCACTGCGCTATGAGGCTCTTTATTTGTATTTCTTAATTATTTACAATTTCTTTGCCCAAACATCTTTCTTAACACGACCTCCCCGCTTGGAAGCGGGGCCTTTGGGCAATCTGAAAAATGACTTTAAGCCCTGCCAAACCTGCCCATCCCAGTACAGACTACCTTGCATTTAACAGGTCAGCAAATGTCAAGAAACACACAAGCAACCAAATTATGAAAAAGAATCTAAAGACTTTTTATCTAATTTCTCTGACTAATACTCAACATTTCTGCCAAATTCCGTGGAAATTCCAAACAATTCCCCAAATGGTATCACATTTGCCATTATAAGCAGAATTGTTGAAGCCAGCTAATTAACCAATATAGTGTAAGTAAGATGAGTGCTGACTGGTAGTTAAGCGAAGATGTAAACCAAATAGATTCTAGTTAAAATCCTATTTTTCCCATTAGTCATTGAGAAGAGTTATATGGCTATTCATACAGGGATGTTTTAAGGATAAATAGATTAAAGGTACATAAAATTATTTCAGCATTTAGAATAGCACATTTATTGTGCTGTAGAATACTTCTGCCATGTAAATGGGGAAGCCAGTACAGGATACAAAAAATCAGCTATGCCTCTGATTATATCTTCTACCTACAATGCTATCAGCAAAGATAATTTTATAACAAAAATGAAGGTTATCAGTTTAAAATGAAAATTGTCAGTTACTTCATTTCCCTAGATGCAGTGGTTGTAAAGGACCCAACATACCCTGCCACAATATAGCAGCATCCTGTGAAGACAAGGTTCTATATGAGTTGTTACAGCGTGCTCAATGGTGGACAATTAAATGGAGAGAAGCACCACTTAAGACGCATAGAAAACCAAAAATTACAGTACTTCAAATATTCCACAATTACATGTACAGATTGGTGCCATTCAGTGAGGTGTAGAAGAATACAGGCATGAGAATGTGGTCATCAGCTAACTTCATCATAAGTAAGATGAAAAAACTGACCTTGGTTTTATTATGAACTACAAAATCAGTTTCTCTTACAAATATTATGGGGCATGGAGAGAACAAGACAACTGCATGCAGAACTTTGACATGCATGCACCATGCAAGGAGCAAACACAATAGTAAAGAAGTGGAAGGAGGAGATGGGAAGAAATCTGAAGTTGTACTGTACCACGCTTTATCATAGAAGTAATGGACTAACTCCTCAACTCCTTGCCAATAGCAAAATGGAAAGCAGAGACAAGAAAAAGACAAGGACAATGATGTCAGAGGACCAAGACACAACAATGAGCAGTCGGCATGGCCAAAAAGTAACCTGTCTTACAGTTACATGGGGATCTATATGTACCTATCCACTTTTAAGTACTACTTCCATTCCAGTATGCACATATATCTATGAAGTCTAAAAGCACCCAATTAGACACAAAGTTTCTACTCACCTTTAATGAGGAGCTCAGCACTTGTGCTATTTATGATCATTTGAAGGAATCATCTCACATAGAACCTCGATTAATGTATCTCATCTCCACAGGCATATTTGTTCACCATCAGCTGTAATCCATGTACGTATTCAAAGGCTTCATTAAAACCCATATTTCTTTAGTTTGTTTTTTTATTTTAGAATGGACCAAGATATTTCCATATTCATAATATTCTAGAACCAGAGCTTCTCTAGTTCGCCTCCAATTCTCTTCACTTAAGTTTTTATCATAATTATATTGAACTTGCTTTACTTGCTTTGACTACAGTAGGACAACCACCCGTGGGCAGCTGGTTCCAAGACCCCTCCATGGATGCCAAAAAACACACAAGTATCGAGCACTATACACTGCATGGTCTCTCATCTGCTCTAGTGGCCAGTTCTGGTAAATACACCAGAGAAATACATATAAACTTGTACTTCTGAGTTTTTTCATTTAATATTTTCAGGCAGCAGATAAATGAATCAGCCGATAATGATCCTGTGGATAGGGGTGTGTCCTACTGTATCTTGATTCCAAACATCACATCATCAGTGTCATGCAGACTGAAAAAGCAAGTACACACTCTTCACAATGAGATCAGGCAGGTCTTAGTGAAGGGTGCTGCTTTCACCAATTGAAGACTTGTTAAACTAAGGAATTTCCCGATTATTAAACAATGCAATAATAGTAGTGATTCCACTAATTTTAATGAAAGGTATTACTGTTCTATTGTTTTAACTCAATTAGACGGTTTTATTTCTTGATCTTACTATATTCTGCATGTTCCAATGTACAATACCATAAAATGCTTTGACATTTTTGGAATAAAAAATGATATAGAAATGTCGTATGTGCACACATGCATGTATCCTTCAATTTTCTCTTGCATAGTCCAAATTTAAAAGTCTAAGTCAATTATTATCCCATATAAAATGTTCTACATATTTAACTAAGCTGACATCTAGTAAAGTCTAAAGTAGTTTAGTGTAACGTAAGTATAATTGCTAATTATCTAGTCTCAATTTTTCTCAGTCGTCATTGCCTGAAATTGTTTGGAGCAGCTTCATGTGTACAACTGTGATAATGTCATCACCAGTGGCAAATCATCAGTGATAAAATGCAAATTTCTGCTGATGCCCCCAATTTCAGGGGGCATGCAATTTTCACACAAAGTAACAGAGACATGTGGACGCAAAAACCCCAAGGAAGTTTACTATCAGTGGCAATTTGTTGCTAATGCTGATGTCATCACAATTTTGCACACAAAGCTACACAACAGATTTTTCAGCCACAATTTCCAATTCTGAAGCACACAGGCATGGTTCTCCCTTTTAAAAGGTTTGTACACAAGTGCACATGGATGTATAACTGTATAAGTGAAAACATGCCAAGAACATCCACCAGCAGAGTGGCAACTTCTCACTGGGGGCACACATTTTTCAATGTGCTTGTCTAGAACTAACCTGGCCCTGATCTAAAAGGAACAGAGTAACTGGAGACTTCCAGCTCAGTATAGTTTAGAAAATGTACTTGACTGACTGTTGTTTTAACTTCATCTCTTCGTTTGCCATTTCACTACAGTTTTAGGTAAAGGGTACCCTTGACATTTAGTCCAGTTGTGTCCGAATCTAGGGGGCGGTGCTCCTTCCCGTTTCCAAGCCGTAGAGCCAGCGTTTGTCCATAGACAGTTTCTGTGGTCACGTGGCCAGTGTGACTAGACACAGAACGCCGTTACCTTCCCACTATGGTGGTACCTATTTATCTACTTGCATTTGCATGCTTTCAAACTGCTAGATTGGCAGGAGCCGGGACAAGCGATGGGAGCTCACTCGGTCACATGGATTCGATCTTACGACTGCTGGTCTTCTGATCTTGCAGCACAAAGGCTTCCGCGGTTTAACCCACAGCGCCACCAAGTCCCTATACAGTTTTAGTTAAATGCAAAATTTAATACTGCCATACCCAACACTCAACGAAAATATAATATGGCCTTCTAGAATGCTACAAGCATTTCCCTTTGAAAAAAGGAAACTTTTCAATTTACATCTTACAGTTATAAACCAATCATATTCCTTCCAGCCCCACAGCTAAAGCACAAGCCTGTTCTTCAAGCACTACTGAAAATATCCTGAAAGACTTGGAGCTCCACCTTGCCTGCTTCTAAAATCCTCTTGCTGCAAGTCCTTAGTTGTTTTGGCAGTAGAATCTACAAGCCTTTCGCTTGATTCTTGGTGACAAATATGTGAATGATGGGACACACCTTTTCCTCTTGCAGCCTTACCCCCAAACACACGAGAAGCTACTACATGGTCAGATCCAAACCCCAAAGCAACTTGTGCTGGTTTATCAATTCCAATTCTACAGTGCAGAACACAGTTACAGCTTTTCCTCTGTTCAAGTTAAATCTTTATGTTTGTACTTGCATGTACGTAAACTGTGCATATGCATATACCTTGTTTCCCTGAAAATAAGACCTAACCTGAAAATAAGCCCTAGTATGATTTTTCAGGATGCTTGTAATATAAGCCCTACCCCAAAAATAAGCCCCAGTTAAGTGAAACCCTGCTCTCCACTATCGTGCAGCATCGTGCAGCAACCAGAAGAAGAAGACCTGACTGTATTTGAATAAATGTAAATTGTTGTACATGAAAAAAGTAAAACAGCCCTGAAAATAAGCCCTAATGCGTTTTTGGAGCAAAAATTAATACAAGACCCTGTCTTATTTTTGGGCAAACATGGTACATGGACAAATGATGTGGATCACAGTGAAGGCTGACTGGGAATAAATCAAGATGTCTATCTACATTTGCAAAATATTGGTCAGTATGTATTCAGCCTTTATTACTCAGTGAACAGCAGATCATATATAAAACCTAACTTACTCTTCAACTACGTAAGTTATATTAAGACAACTCCCTCCCCCACAATAACCTTAGCAACCCCTTCTATATAGTTAGTTAAGGATGGAAAACAGTGGAGTAGAAAATAAATACAGCATTTCGTTATAATTTTGAGAACTTTGATGAAGATCCTAATCTTTGTGTATACTGAATTTATTCTATAGGAGACAATACAGTGGTGCCTCGCACAGCGAGGTTAATCTGTTCCGGATTAACCCTCGCTGTGTGAAAGCATCACTGTATGGATCAAAAAAAAGCCATTGGAACGCATTAAACAGCGTTTGATGCATTCCAAATGGTCAAAAACTCACCATAAATCGATGCTTTTCCGGGTCCGGCAGCCATTTTCGCACCCTCGGTAAGCGAGGGGAGGGCGCAAAAACGCTGTGCGCAGCCATTTCGGCCGCAGCGAGACTGCGGATCAGCTGGTCGGCGGGTCCAAAATGGCCACCGGAACAGCCAAAATAGCCGCGCACAGCGTTTTCGCGCGCTCCCCTCGTTTACCGAGGGCGCGAAAACGCTGCACGCGGGCATTTTGGCTGTTCTGGTGGCCATTTTGGACCCGCCGACCAGCTGATCCGTGGGTCGCAAAGTGAAAGTCGTTAAGCGAACCGCTTACCGCCCTTCGCTCTGCGATTTTCGCCCTATGCGGGCATCGTTTTGCGATCGCATTTGCGATCGCAAAACCGGCCTCGTAGAGCGGATTCATCGCTCTACGAGGCGCCTGTTGTGTGAGGCACCACTGTACGGTGAAATCAAGGATGTCAATTTCTACACCACAAGTCTCTATGCCACAACTTAAAAAGATCTCTTTTAAAGCATTTATTGGGATATATTGTTTTTTATACATTGGCTTTCTGGATGTTTAATTACTTAGGTTTATATTTTGAACCTGAATAATCAGTCTTTCATTTCAATTCCCTAAAAATAGTTTAACCTGGTGATTCACAACATAACAAGATATATTCACTTTCTACTCTCTATTTCAGTACAGTACAAATCAGCAAAAAATTGTATTTGCTATTGTTATAATAAACAACAATATAAAAATACCAATTTTAGTACAAGCAATTGCTAGTTAATAAATAATGTTAATGTATCATGCACTGCTGGAGAAGCCACCTCTTCCTTAGTTTGTTACAAATATTTGTAGGCACACTGCTGATTAAGAGACTGCTGAGAAAAGACACACAGATTAAAAGAAAAATCTCATTTTCCAATGAGAATATGACTCATACTGTTGTCAAAGTGTGACTTGCATCAACACATCTCTACAAATATGCAAATATATTTGGATAAGTGCACATGCCAAACATGAACGAACATGACAGACACACATTTTGAAAAGCCAAGGGGGGGAAGAAAAACAAAAGGGGAAGAAAACCCACCAAGCAAGGTAAACGCTGAAGGACAGATGAAACAAAGCTTTCAGACTGGTCTTGAGGCTTCATTATGAAACTGTTTTTCAGAAAGCTGGAAGTTGCAGTTATATTGTAAGTAAAGGAGGGAGGCACTGGCGTTAGGCCACATTCTAGCATATGGCTTATGTTTTTGCTTGGAAAAGCAGAATGCTACACAATTGACAGTGCGTGCAAAGGGGTAACTGCTACCGGAGCACAGTGAGGGGATATGAGTGAGAAGTACAGACTCACTCTGTCTGCGTTGCGGTGGAACAGTCCGAGGGATGCCCTGGAAGGAGCCCTGCCAGGGAGAGAAGGAAGGAGCAGAGTACCCACCCTGTGCAGAGAAAGATGGGGGAGAAAGAATAATAAAAAAAAGAGAATAGGGAAAAAACAGCACCAAAAAGCTATATAGTTTCCGTTATAAACAAGAAGCACCTTTGAAGCAGGCCATCTTAATTTATTCAAAAGATCACCCGTTACCAAACCGCTGGCCAGAGACTCTTATTTTAACAATTTAGATTATATAAATTGGTCTTGTGAAAACTCCCCCTGAAAATACTTGAAGGAAATGTTGACTTTTATGTATTCACACCTTATTTCCCAAATATTCTATGCATTCAGCAAAGACAAGAATAGTATTTCAATGCACATTTTAAAATTATGTTAGAGTACCTTGTGAAAGTAAGCAGACTGGTCATCCAATTTTATTTTACTATACATAAAAGTTTAAAGAAATAGGAAGCACATGTGTGAACGAGTATGCCTTTCAGACCTGGATGGAGCAGCAGATGACCTAACCAATTCACATATCTGGTGCTAAGCAGCCCCAGGCCCAAGTTTATGAGCCAAAACATCTCTGTTGTAAAAGACTGCTCATTGTTCTACGCAGATGCTATTTCCCTTTTAGACTCCATGACAATAATGTTGTTGTTCCAACATATGAATAAAACATTTCTGTTCAGATTATTTTGACCTTCAGTTGCCAAGCCCCAGTGCATTTGTTAACTGCATTTGTAAATCCTACTTCTTAGAGAAGGAACCAGTCTAACCGGTTTTATTCAGTAAAGCCAAAACTACCTTAAAAGAAAAGTACTGTCATGCAGGAGAACCAATGAAAAGTTATTAAAAAATATATATTCTGATCAGGGGAAAAAAGCGTGTCTTCTTAGACTATTTGATATAGATTGTTCGCACATTTTTAAATTTTATTTCCAAATATAGTTGTCTCGCCACAAAAGGAAAAGCAACTAAAGTCTACATGTTGCTAATTAATAGAGATTAACTTTATTTCCAGCCTGCCATAAGACCCAAATAAGAGCTGCAGTAGAGATTCTGTCATTCAGAGAATCTGATAAGGGATGACATGCCACCAGTAACTGTGACCCACTTGGGGCATTAAGTCAGCACAAATACTGGAGATTAGATATACTGCAATCTGTTAAACACTTTAAATACTAGCAGGCTGTTTCCTAGTAAACTGCCCTAGTTAAAAAAAATCAGTTTTATTTTGTCATATTGTCTTCAAGTACAGTACAAGTTGCATCAGTAACCAATAGGTTGCCAGAAATTGACTGCTTGGGTAACCTTTAGGTTTGTTCTAAATTTTAAAAGCTATACCTCCCTTCCCACCCACAATACTTCAGGCAGCTTTCAAAAAATGAAGAATCAGCCATTTGAAAGGTCAACAATTCATATAAAAGATGCTGAAAACCTCATGTCTCTCGTTGCTGTCTGACTTCTATGCAAGAAAACAAGATCTTAAAGTGCTTCCAAAAGGGAACTAAGCTTGTACTTTGGTAAGAATGAAACAATGCTTTCCATCTGTAGGCCAGGATCTAAGAACACACTCCTCTGCAGACATATCCTTGAAGCAAATTTTCCAGGGAATGGAGATAACTTCTATGTCAGTTCCCCTGTAGTCGCTATGTAAAGCAGTCATTACAAAGAGGCTATTTTATGAAGCCTGAGTCTAGGACACAATCATTATATGAAGACCACTCTCCCTCTTGATTTAGAAAAAGGAATTGTTGCGGTTATACACGGCACATTTCATTTATGTAAAGGATGTTTAGGCTGTCTTCAAGGGTATTGATCTCTACAGGTGACATATGAAAACAGAAAACATAAAAGCACAATTACAATAATGGTGTACAATTTAACAGTACACAGCATACAAACAACACTGTCAAAAAAAGCAAGCATGTATCAGTTTGAGAAATACAGTGGGGTCTTGACTTAAGAACGCCTTGAGTTAAGAACATTTTGACTTAAGAACCACTCTCATAGGAAAATATTGACTTGACTTACATACTTAGATTTGAGTTAAGAACTGAAAAAAACCACGTGGGAGGCAGGGAAAGTGCAAAATTTGAACTTTCAGTTAACTGTTGGCCAGTGAAAAGGGTGCCTGTCTGCTTCCTCACTCCTCCCAGCGTTTAGAGAGTGGATTGGGAGACAGTCTTCAGACTGCCTGGTACTGTACTGCCTGGACTGTATTTTCCCTGCCTTCCCTGAACCTTCCTTGACCTAAGAAAAAAAGAAACAAAATATCCCCCTCTAGTGGTCGAAGGCAGAATAGCAGCTTCCCATTAGTTTCTATGGACCGAAAAGAGCAGATACGGATCAAATGGTTTTCATTGCATTCCTATGGGAAATGCAGATTTGACCTGAGAACTTTTTGACTTGAGTACCGCCTTCCAATACGGATTAAGTTCTCAAGTCAAGACCCCACTGTATATGGAGTAAAAGACAGCTTCACCTAAGAAATCTCTCTACAATTAGTGTTTCTGTGCACGTGCAGTATAATAAATCTTGAGGATCTTCAGTTTGTTAAATATGTTTTTATTGTTTTTTAAAAATTCAGGAGCCATAGCTCAATGAGGAATTTAGTATTTAATCTGCTCATTTTTCGATGAGTATCTAATATGCAAAATCCAAGACTGTATCAATGTTGGCATCACTATCAGTTGAATTACACACTTATTCTGGGGCAAACATCTGTGTAGCCTGATCCTAAATGTGTTTACTCGCAAGTAAGTCCCAGTGAGTTCAGTGTGACTTACTCTCAAGTAAATGTATGAAGGACAGTAGTCTTGGACTCAACAGAAAGTTTATGAAGATTTTGGAAATTTGTACCAAGACATGGAGAGAATCAATAAATTTAAACCAAGCCTGACCTTTTGTTAATTGGGCACGGAAAAGAACAGGTGGGAAAATTTGTCCAAAATACCTCTGTGAGCTGTGTTCATGCATCATATAAATAAAAACCTTAGAGATGAATAAAAAACATTGCAACATTCAGCAACAGACATCTGAGAAACTGGCAATACAGTGGGGTCTTGACTTAAGAACGGCTTGAGTTAAGAACATTTTGACTTAAGAACCACTCTCATAGGAAAATATTGACTTGACTTACATACTTAGATTTGAGTTAAGAACTGAAAAAAAAACCACGTGGGAGGCAGGGAAAGTGCAAAATTTGAACTTTCAGTTAACTGTTGGCCAGTGAAAAGGGTGCCTGCCTGCTTCCTCACTCCTCCCAGTGTTTAGAGAGTGGATTGGGAGACAGTCTTCGGACTGCCTGGTACTGTACTGCCTGGACTGTCTTTTCCCTGCCTTCCCTGAACCTTTCTTGACCTAAGGGGAAAAAAAAATATCCCCCTGTAGTGGTCGAAGGCAGAATAGCAGCTTCCCATTAGTTTCTATGGACGGTAAAGAGCAGATACGGATCAAATGGTTTTCAATGCATTCCTATGGGAAATGCAGATTTGACCTGAGAACTTTTTGACTTGAGAACCGCCTTCCAATACGGATTAAGTTCTCAAGTCAAGACCCCACTGTATGATGAGCAATGCAGTGGTCTACAAAAGGAATGGAAGAGTACCGTAATCAGATTTGTACATATAGAATAACAAAATTTAGAAAAATGCTATCATATTTAATGGTGCAGCGTAATATTATCAAGCTTCCTGCGCCATTTTATATTATTTATTTTTATTTATTATTATATTGCTTTTAAGTTTTCATTAGTTTTAATCTTCTCTGTCTGTTTTCCTATCCAGAAGTATGAGCAAAACATTTCTTAAATATAGTTCCAAACTGAATTCTCTGAGGCATCAATCGAGTGGAGGGAAGTACAAAAGAATACTAAAACAAGGCCAAACATTTTTCTTAACTACAAAGCTATGAAGGTACCCAACCTCTTTATCAGTAGACACACAACTACATTGTTTCTCCCTCAACATCCCCAAAAGAAACAAAAAATTTAGCAGGGGACAGGTCCACCAGCAGCATGGCACAAGGAGGGAATGCAGATATGTAAGTCATTGTGACTACTCTCCAGGTAATATCAGGAGAAGTTCTGCAGCAGATTTGTTAAAACCCATTTTTCACTTGTGACATATCATCATGCTATTGCACAGATATTTTATAATTTGACTCAACATCATGTATCATTTTCATTATGAAAATAGTACAGAAATTCATTAAGTGGAACTATAACATGCCCTGTATAATACATGATTTGTGTCTTAATCTTCAAGGTTGAATCAAAGTACAGTGGACCCTTGACTTACAGACGGCTTGACTTACAGACTTTTTGAGTTACAGACTTCTCTGGCCACAAAATTTAGGTTTGACTTGAAGCCTGAGAATTGACTTACAGACCAGAAAAAAACCAAAATGGAACAAAAACGGCCTGTTACGGGGTTAATCGGTTTTCAATGCACTGTAGGTCAATGGAGACTTGACCTACAGACTTTTTGACTTGAGAACTGCCTTCCAATACAGATTAAGTTCTCAAGTCAAGACCCCACTGTATCTGGCTTTATTCTTTAAAAACATTATAAACAACATACCACAAGCCCGTCAATATACTACAAGCTCCTCAAAGCCTATGCCGTTCATGCCAATGACTAAAAACAAAGCTCAACTCCAATGTATCCTAGACCACTGGGATCATTTCCAGCACTTTCACAAAATGACTTTTCTCCTTTTTGGCCATAGTATACTTGTACTTTCCAACTGAACACTTACAGGCACCCTGTAGTTGCTGCTGCGAATTCGCTAGCATAATCACCAAATCAAGTTATCTGTTGCCATAGTAGAAAACTGATTGAAAACTTTAGAGGGGGAAATGCAATCTGCAGTGTAACCTTTGCTTTGTACATAACACAAGACGTTAAGGGAAAGGACAAAGATACCTAGCAGACACCTTCATTACGGGGTTCTCAGAAAGTCAACTAAAATCTAGATGAGCATATCTACTAGTATACTGATTCCCTGTTGCAAATAAAAGTGAGACTGGGGGAAAATGCTATATAAGATTAAAATCTCAACAACAGTTAAAACCAGAAGGTCTGGGTTTATACATTTCCTTTAATATTATCATTCTTTCTCAGAGTGGATTACAATATGATTACACTCCAAAGTGCCATCTATTTTCAAACAAAGATATAGAAGCACAGAAATGCGGGATTAGAAGATAAGATTCTAAGTAGTATTGCCTCTTTTCTTTCTTCATTTTATACTGAAAGGCTAAACAGTTTTGAATTCAAGGTGGTTGGTTTTTTTCCCCCAAGTTCCATGTCTGAAAACCCAAAGCATATATACTGGGGAAAGTGTCTTCTACCACAGAACCCTCTGCACCAAGGAGATAACTAGTTTCTAAGCAAAAGAGACAAGCAAAAAAAGATCTACAGGGCTTTCACTAATGGCTTGCAGAAATGTATAGCAGAAGCTACAAGCCTGTCAACAGACAAATTTAGGCCTCACCCAGAATTCCAGTCCATATTGTACTATTGTTCATAATACAGTATGCTATTTCAGGACAAGACTTTCAGTACTGAACTGTTCAGCATGCTGAACAGACAAAACTGCAGGTTTAACTATGCCAAGCCCAAACATGCTGCCTCTTCTACAAGCATCTCCAAGCTTGTGCTATTCATGACATTCATTCTTCAGGCTAGGTACCCATGAGCTCCATGTCGCACATGTAAGCAATTCCATTTTTTTTAAAAAAAAATCAGTGATTTACACAACATTAAACACTGTTAAAATTGGTACCAACTATTTTACATAATCAAAATAATCACTCTACATGGAGAAGATGCTCAGCTGTCAATGACAAATCTAGACTAAGATGTCACAAACAAAATCTCTTCTTGTTTTTCCTTCACAAAACTGTACTACTGAAAGGACACACCGCAAATTGACTAAAATATGTAAGGAATTGTGAATCACAGGGTTTCCCCCCCTAATTTTCACTTGAATTACTGGAAGTTTTTCCTGGACATGGCCTGTCATATTTTTCTTAGGTCCAAAAGCATTATTGTTCTATTTGTAAGATTATTTTAACTCTTTTGCATATTGTGTCCCATTATTGTCATCTCTTATGTGTGCTGATGACTGATGATAGTCTACTTACCATCTATCACACTTGCAAAGAATTATATTTCCAATATGCAAATAATTCCAATTCCCAACACTGGAAACAAAAGCAAACTAGGACTACTAGAAGTTGTAACTTTTTAAACAGCCAGTTTGTAAAAGAGATAATTTGCAAATTATGTTAATAAGAATTGAAAAAGATAAAGATATATCTGAAATGGCTGCAAATTTAATTCAGATTCTCCCGCTCCCCACGAATGCAGCCATCAGTCCAAGTAAATTTGGAGATTGCAGCACACCTGAAATTCTATAAAGCTCCACAGGAATCAAACTGGCATAGACAATACAGAATTTTGATTGTTTTCCAAAAGACGATGCTACTCTGAAATCAGAAAGGAAGGTCCTATGGAAACATCAGATTGAGACCTCTGGGTAGTGTGGGCGGCATATAAATTAAATAAATAATAATAAAAAATATTCAAAAATTTTTCCATGTATGTTTAAGTCAGAGTTTAATGAATATGTGGTGTTCCAGTATTCTTCGTCCTTCTGTAAGTACTGGCCAACATAGCTAATGGAGAAGGCTTGTGAGATGGCAGACCAACAGGTTCAAAACAGCCAAACAAGCCTCTTTCCCATCATAAGCAAAGAGGAGAGAAAACACATACAACCCAAATTTCTACATCACTGTATAAGGTAAGGAGTGTGGCAAATGGGGAATCATTCCTTTAACATTACAGAACATTCAAAAGAAACATTTACATAATCTGACAAGATGTATAGAATGAACCACAAACAACTACTCACAGCATTTTTCCTCCAAGAAGTCTGTGTGTATTTGTCAGCATACGCGCACACGGCCACTTCAGATTTCTTGCTCTCTTTGTTGCAGTTGCACCTAATAGACTTTACGCATATAGAAAACACAAAGAACTTGGTGAAGACTGTAACACACACATCTGATGCCGAGGTCCAATGGCTGCTTCACACTAGAGGTATTAGAAGTACTTCATTAAACTTAAACTGTACATATGGAGAAGTAAAAAAAGAGTGTGTAATACTTACAGTTTCCCAGACTGAAACCTAGACTGATATTTACTAGTAAACATCTAAAAGATTCACAATGAAATTTAAGGGTTTCCAAATAGTTCGTAAATGCTTCAAATGTTTTCAAATTTTAACTTTGTCTCCATACAACATAGTTCCCCTGAATATAAATTTAGATCACGTTTTAGACTTTACATAATCACAAGTAGCAGCCTTATTCAGGTGTTCGTCTGAACACACGTAAGAGCTTAAATCAGAGAAACAGATGCACTTGCACATTGAAGCCTACCCTGACTCTCGTTTCAGACTATCACACTGGAAACCTCTGAACACTATTAAGGTCTGCAAGGGACCCTGTAATAGCATTTGCTTGAATAAGGCTCCCATGAACAGGAATCCAACTTAGGGTTTTCAATTGCATTACAATGCTCAGCCATCAGAGTTACAAAATCCTCTACAAACGTTCATGATCAATGTGTGAATGTCTTTTGACATTGCATGGTGCAGCTCCTTTCATGGGTGCAACTTGTATGTGAGTGCATGTCAGCACTTTAAGTCCTATTCATGTTCAGGCGAATGGCTAAACAGGGCTAATGTCTACTCTTTCAAAGAGTAGTTACTTTATTCAAGTCCAGGTACAAGTACTGTATATAGTTAAAATGCAGCTATATTAAATGAGCCGTGACTAAACAATGCAATGTACCAAAAGAAGGCTTGTTGATCTCAACTCTTGCATTTGAGAATTCTTGTGTTCTAAAGCAGATAACTTTAGACTTATAGGACTGGAATACAGAACCATAACATCAGAGAGAATACCACAGCCTTGATCCAGGAGTTCTTGTAAGAGCTCTGATTTAAAATGGGTTGCCCCTGTAGTTCTTTCCCCTCTTTCAAAGGAAATCATACACAATCCTGCTCACATGCATGTATGTGGATGACATATCCTCACACATGTTGAAAGCTCCTCTAGCATTCTAAGTTGAGTTGAAATCAACCTGCCTGCTCAACTCCACAATCAAAAGGCACTCATCTGTCGTTATGTGTAACTGAAATAAAAATCTATCTTACGTGGTTATTTCTATGCACTGTTTTATAAGATCACACTTGCTACAGCAGCCTTCCACAAGGTGGTGCTCTTCACACCCAAAAAGGCCTAGGAAGCCTGACCAGTGGTTAGCCCTCGCTCTGTTATAATCTAAAACACTGGTAGGGAAGCCTGCTCTACAAAACAGAATAAACTTACAAGCTGATGCTCTAACGCCTTGATTGTTTCATCTTTTTTCTTTAAAACTTCTTTAAGCTGTGTGATCTCATTCAGCAAGTCTTCATTCTGGCAAATAAAATGAAAACAAAGATATTAATGTATCACCATGAGAAATATATAAAGAAGTTTAATTATCTTTGGAGGTGTGGAATTAGACACTAACAACACCATGCAACACGTTCTGGCTAAGAACATGTATATTTTTAAAATATTAATTTCCAGTTCATTTTCAAACTAAATGTTACAAAGTAATAAAACTACTAATACTACAAACGTTCTAGAACAAAGCAATATTACTATATATATAATATGTCTTGTAGCCCACTTTTTTTAAACAGTAAGTAGATCTCCACTCTGATGGCAAAAAGTGAGGAGACATTTAAAAAAACCCTAAGATCATGGCCACTGGTCCCATCAACCCCTTGCAAATCGAAGGGGACGATATAGAGGCAGCAACAGATTTTACTTTCTGGGGCTCCATGATCACTGCAGATGGTGACAGCAGCCACAAAATTAAGACGCCTGCTTCTTGGGAGGAAAGCAATGAGAAACCTAGACAGCATCTTAAAAAGCAGAGACATCACCTTGCCAACAAAGGTCCACATAGTCAAAGCTATGGTTTTTCCAGTAACGATGTATGGAAGTGAGAGCTGGACCAAAAAGAAGGCTGACCGCAGAAGAATTGATGCTTTTGAACTGTGATGCTGGAGGAGACTCTTGACTGCAAGGAGAAATCAACCCTGACTGCACATTGGAAGGACAGATCCTGAAGCTGAGGCTCCAATACTTTGGCCATCTCATGAGAAGAGAAGACTCCCTGGAAAAGACCCTGATGTTGGGAAAGTGTGAAGGCAAGAGGAGAAGGGGACGACAGAGGACGAGATGGTTGGATAGTGTCACCGAAGCTACCAACATGAATTTGACCCAACTCTGGGAGGCAGTGGAAGACAGGAGGGCCTGGCGTGCTCTGGTCCATGGGGTCACGAAGAGTCAGACATGACTTAACGACTACAACAAATAGGTCTCCTGTAATTTCAATATTTATTAACCAGTGTTCCTTTTCCAAATTGTGAAACAGCTTCTTCATCAGGAGAAATGGAGACAGGAAAGCAGTTGGTAGTTCATTGTGAGCACTTGGCTGTGTTTCCCATTCATGTAATGTTAGCAACTATTTTTCCAGTTATAGAGGATTCTTTTCTATTTGTAGAATTCTGTTTACTTGACCTTCACTCCTCTGGGCTATTTAAATAGGCCAAGGTAATCAGGGTGCAATGGTTAGAGGAGGCAGTTAATGTCTTCTTACAGGAAGAAGTTGTTCCCTCTTGTTTAAATTTAGCAGTAATGGTTGTCTAAGTAAGATTTTTAAATAAATTGTTAGGCATTACTGCTTTGAACATCTTTCTAGTATTACCATTTCTCAGAGTGGTATTTGTTTCATCCTTCTTAGTATTGGCATATTTATTGTTTCTAACTTTAAATATTGTATTTTAATATTATAAGCCACTTTGAATACAAATATTTGAGAGAGCGAGAGAGCAAGCAAGCAAGCAAGAAATCTGCCATTGACACAGATATTTGAGTAACTATAGGCCAATCTCATATTTATTATTTGGAACTGTGATTGAGATGCTATAGGTCTAAACACTTTTAGATGATACTGATTATTTCAATCTATTTCAATTGGTCTTTCATGTGGAATGTGAGAGTGAGATTGCCTTGGTTACTTTGTTGAATGTACTAGATGGGGGAAAGTACAGCATTATTTGTTTGCTTGGGCCCCATGACTTTTGATACCATCAACCACAGTATCCTTTTGAACTATATAGCTGGATTGGGCATTAGGCCCTCTGTACTGCAGTAATGCCAGTCTCTTCTGTCACCTTGCATCCCAAAGGAAACGCTTGGAGAATGTTGACACCACAACGTTTAGGATATGTTGTCTCATATACTATTTTATTCTATCTTCCATGTTATTCATATTAAACCACTGAGGAAGGCCATTCAAAGCTCTGAAATTTGGAGTTATCACTAATCTGATGACATTTCATCTTATTGATCTGTGTCATTTACCACCAAAGAAGCAGCTGATATCTTTGAAAACAACTTGAGCTTCATAATGGGGTAGATGAGAGTAAACAAGGTAAGAGTATATCCCAAGGGCTATCTGGAGATTGTGCTAATGTATTGTCCACCTAACTACCAACTCTTAATACAGTGAAAGGAATAAATAAAACATCCAAATCAAATTGCTTTCATCTTCAGTAATATTTGAGCATGGTTAAGGAAAATTTAAAAATTAGCAATTTCAAGAATTAGCTGTTTGAAATTATCACATTCTGTATTTTAAAAAATGTAAAGTATATTCATTATGGTTTACCAGGATAAATATAACCCCTTAATTGCTTCCTTGGATGATTTTTTTTCCAGCTTTACACTGGGCTTCTTCATTTGAAAGGATCTGTTCTGAAACAAGCATAGTATGTTACAGTACCTTAAATATTGGCTCCGGCTCCTGAAGTTCTGGACTTGAAGGCAATGAGAAAGTGATATTATGGAGTGAAACGCTGTCATCATTCTGCAAAGGAGAAAAAAAAATATTCATTCATTTCCTGAAGATCTACATCTTAAAATTGCTTTTGAACTATAAAGATTACTGATTATTTATTATTCCTGCTATTCTGCACAGCGTTGGGAGACTGAGAGTTTTCAAAATACTGTACTTAAATCAGAACTGTGTTTCCTGTTGCAGATGGGATTAGCTTTCTACCAACCCCCCCCCCCAATCATACCAGAAATAAGAAATCAAGGTTAAAGATTCAGACCTGGCCTCCTACAGACTTCTTTTTATAGGAAAGGGGGAAAAACAATTTGAGGGTCTAATCTGCACTGAATCTGTAATCTGAACTACTTTATAATCATGATCTTTTTTATAATCCATCTGTTAATCCAATAATAAAGGCTGTATACTTTATAAATTAATAACTTCTAATATTGTAACAGCTGTTTTTTTTAATTATCTTCTATTCAACATGCATGGAAGCTTCATAAATGTAAAAGATGGTTTTTAAGTGGTAAATTATATTTACATTGGATTAAGAAACTAAGTACTACAACTTTATATCAGTTTGAAATCAAATGCTACAATTTTTTGGAAAAAAAATCTTGCAGTTCTTAAAACAGCTGTTTTTAAAAACTAGTTATTAATTAGTCTCCTTTTAATGCTGTTACAACTTTTAACCCTTTTCAGTTGTATTTTACTATTTTGCCCAATTTTAATTGATTATGTATTATATGCCACCAAGTACAGCCCAACTTCTGGTGATCCCTTCCAGGGTTTTTTAGGTATAAAATACTCAGGAGTTGTTAAAAGTCCTTTCTTCTAAGGGGGCACACTCTGGGACTGTGCAGCTTGTCCAAAATTACACACATTGGCTCTTCTCCCAAGAGACACAGTGGGGAATTGAATTCCTAACACCTAGCTCCACAGCCAAGTAACTAGTTCACTGGGCTATCCAACCAATTCCCCTTTGAATTACTTTATCACATTTCAAGATTGCATTTCTGCCTCCATTTTCTAAGCATCCATAGAATCTACTTTGATGAGAACCAAATAAAAAAATAGACTAAATAACTTAAGTTATAACAATTAATCAAAACATAGACTACTCATGTGAAGAAATCTGTCACAAATCTATTCTCACCCCGGAGGGAAATCCAGTTGAAGTTGATACACATAAAAAACCCTACCTAATGCTACAAACTAGGCTATGCCTACTTCTCTGATACTGTGAGATGGTTTGTTTAGGTCCCTTCTCACTAATAGAAGTTCTCATTTGAAATTCTCTGTAGCAAGGATGCACACTTGCAGCCCCAACAGGTATGTGCATGTTGACTGGGAGCAGGGCCATATACCTAAATCATCTGGGACTACAATCATTAACATCAAAGGGAAATCTTTAAAAAAATTACATTTTTTTCCATATCTTCGTCTCACAAATTGTTTTAGAATGTTTACATCTGCATGGCAAAATAAAAAAAATATATCTGTATGACAGAGACAAAAAACTAACTGAACAATCTGGGCCTCACTTGAAAGGGACTGGATTCAATCATGATCCATAGGGTCAATTCCAACTCTGCTGTTCTATGATGATGGCAGATGATGATTAATATGTTTACTCATGCACAACCATATGTAGCAAAAGATAAAGAAAATATAATTACATGGGAAAACATGCTTGTAACTCAAAGATAACTCACATTTGGATGATATGTTAGTTCACAGAAAAAATAAAAAATAGGAATGTTCCCTTGAATCACAGTATTACAGTTTGAATCAGGGGAACTATGTTCTACTAGTTTCACATCAAATTATGACATACAAATGTCATATTCTGAATTGTTCTGGAACTGTAAAACAGTTTCCCAGTTTGGATGAACAAACATATTGGGAGTAGCTAAAGACATGCTAATATAAAAGTGACACTCATAAAGGTCCCACATGACACTTGTTTGCCTTGCGGCTTATTAAACAGATACATTTCAACTGTTTCCAGGTAGAGAGGCCTCACACAGAATCACCATTATCTCCAGCAGAAAGAATCAGAGAATGGCTGGTGGGTAAGACCTCCACCTGAAACCTTCAGGACCTACTGCCAGTTATATCAGCAGACGGACACCAGTCTATATGCCAGCTCCAAAACTGTAAAAATCACAAAGGGCTCGACTGCAATGGAAAAGACCTGAAGTGCACCTCAAATATTTTCAGAATTTATTAACACACAGCACCAGATAATCATAATTATAAAGTTTATAGAATGGCCGGATTAAATCAGGATTATATCTCCTAACAGGCATTTCTGAAACATCTCCAGTTTTATAAAACCACCTTTTCTACCAATTTCGCTTTTCGTCCATATGGTCTATATTGAATCCTTCGTATATTATCCAGAGTAGCTGACAGAAACATAATCTCCTTGACCAGAAGCGACGTAGCTGCCATTAGGAATGAAAAATGCTGAGCTCTGGTTATTCAAATTGATCCCATCATCAGTGACATCATAAGACATTTGTAACTGGTAAGTTTGTACTACGGAACTAGTTGCTATGTGGGTGGGTGGGAAGATTATTTTAATTAAGTCTCTCTAATGCTACCAATAGAGCCCATGCAATGTCAGCAGCACAAATTAGATTGGAAGGAATATAGCACACCTCTTTCAGTATGCTATTTTAATTCATTTTCCCCTACAAAAAGCATTTGTGACCTGAGGAACAGGTAAGGATAAGTACTCCCTCAATCCCCAATGGTACCAGCTTCAGCTATACTTAAGCCAGAAACAGGATCAAGAGGAACTGAGCTTTAACAATGGTCTTTTACTATACTACACCAGACCTGGGCAAAGTGCAGCCTGAGGGCCACATATGGCCTGCAAGCTGCTCCTGTCCGGCCCGTAGACAGTTTTGAACATCCAAAACCATTTATAGCTTTTTGTCTAAAGTTGATCAGTTGCTTATCTTTAACATATCACAAAAAAACCTCTTTAGTATTTGTGAAGATTAACAAGTTTGAAATTAAAACAATCATAACATCACTGTTTCATTTTATTTTTAAGCAAAGTTGGTTCAGCCCCCGAACACAGTTCAGATTTCTCATGTGTCCCCACCCCCTATAGAAATTAATTACCCACCCCTGCTATACAACATAGCTTCAAAGCTAGGGAGCCCTCACAGAAAGCACCAGTTTCTCTCTAGACTGGATGTTCATTTTTGGATAGTTAAAAGACCATCATGGAACCTACAATGGGATATAATATGTACTATTTTGTGAAAATATGTTAAGAATTTTAAGCATTCAACAAAGTGGCTTGACTCTGAAGTAAACTGGAAACTTATGAATTAAGTAAAATAAAATTTCAAGTAACATATACAGTATTTAAGTTTTCACATTAAAACTTGTGTTATCAGCAAAATTCCTCAAGCAAACCCTCTTAAAGATTACCTCATGCTTCTTCAGATGTTCTGTTATGCAGAAGAGAAGCAATAAATTATGTGAATGAATATGATCTAATCTAACATTGTTTTTAAGTTTCCTTCCATCAAACATACAGAAAGGAAGCACAATATCCTCAACCTCAAATGCTCAGCTGAGTCTGTAAAAAGGGCCTCTCATTATGTCTGAACAGCTGCATGACAACTGTATGAACATCTGAAGGTCAGAGATGTAACTCCATCTCCAGTTTTACATATTTGATAAATTCATGGGAATAAACTTATCACTAGATCTTCAATGGGGTAGAATATTCTACATCATTTTGATCTGTTAACCTAGAACATTATATGCAAACCAAACAATTGTATTTTGGAAATTAAATATTGCTTATTATTTTGGAAAAATAAAGATATTGTACCACAATATTCAAATTGTTAGGAAGTGTTCATTTATCAGTACAGTGGTGCCTCGCAAGACGGGCACCCCATTTAACGACAAAACCGCATTATGACGAACTTTTTGCAATCACAAAAGCGATCACTTTACGATGGTTTCAATTGGGGAATTTCGCTTTGCGATGATCGGTTCCCTGCTTCGGGAACCAATTCTCGCAAAATGATGATTTTAAAACAGCTGATTGGCGATTTCAAAATGGTCACCGGGTTTTAAAAAATGGCTCCCCGCTCTTTTCTTGGACGGATTCCTTGCTGCACAGGCAGTGAAAATGGCCGCCCTATGGAGGATCTTCGCTGGATGGTGGGTTTCAAGCCCCTAGGAACACAATTAATCAGGTTTTAATGCGTTTCTATGGGCTTTTAAATTTAGAATTACGACGTTTTCATTCTACAGTGCTTTCTATGGAACGAATTAACATAATGTGAGGCACCACTGTACTTTTGTGTGTGTGTGTGTGTAGTGCATGAATAGTAACAAAGCCAGGAAAACACTATATTGGTGAAATAAAGCAATGCATAGCAGCTTTGGATCCTAGCCAAATATTTAAAAGAAAAAAAAAAGAAACACTCGATTTTAATATTTCCACATAATGGCTTCCAGCATAACAACTCCAAGTGTTCCACCTATGAAGCAGACCTCTCCTCCTCACTGTAGCCAGCACCCATGAAACACAATTCTGAATGTCAGATGTCATGACCTTGAAAGATAATGCACACTGAATCCACTTTGTATGCAGACTTCCAGTGAAATCATTGGAGCCAAGACAGTATTTAAGCAAAAAAACCCAGCTTTAAGAAAATTAAATTTTACTATAATACAAAGATAGATGGCATGGTGTTCCTTCCAGCATTACATTTTACATATTACTTACTAACCTGGTAAAGTATCCTCTTCATTTTCAACAGCTGAGTTTTTACAGCTGTACAGTCTTGAACCATATGCCGAAGGGTCATTTCATCCAGCATCACAGTGTTAGCCGGCAAACTCCTTAGAGGTGGGTATAAGCTTGGTACTCCATAGCCTTCAATATGGCCAAGAGGAGGAGAGTCCACATAGTTGCAGCTCCTGTAATATGTTTTCAGAAACTGATTTGAAGGTAGTCACTTTAGTGTGCTGGAGCAAAACAACATTTCATGGCAGTTTATGTCAAAATATGTTTGTCTTTTAAAGAGCTACAAGTATCTCTGATATTCCAAGAACGCCAAAACAATGGTCCTACATTGTACTTTAACACAAAGGACATCTTGCAACTGTCGATTTATGTTGACCTATTATTCAGTCTAAGGCTTCATAAAATGACAAATGAGCCTCTTTGTAATCTTTGCCACAGATGTTTCTTATGCAGGAACAAGGAGGCAAGCTTTCTCTGGCAGTGTTCTGGCTTTGTAAAGTTGTTCCTTCAACAGTTTCTACTCATTTAAGACTTTTGCTGATTTTTGAAGTTTATTATTTTGTGCTGTTCTCATCATCTAATTTGTTTTAACATGTTTTATCGTTGTCACAAACTGCTCTACTGCAGCTACTCAGACTCTTTTCCCATTAGCCTCTCTACTCCCTGTCCTTTTTATTTTCATATAGTGAATTCCTGAAGGCACAGAGTGAAAGGACCTCTCAAGCCATTTCACTACACTTCTTGACATGCAACCCCTTTCCCTTGCAGCTATGCCTTTTAAGAAATGATGCCCGCCCATGCTTGTACCACTGCCACCACCCCACACATGCTCCTTCTTATTTCAAACCCTGGTAGTTCAGCAAAGTGATTTCAGATATCAGAAAAAGTACCCAGATTTCCTCTGCACACAAAATCCACCCAAATCCTGGGTAGGATTATATATATATATTATTAAAAAGAAGAAAAAAGAAACAATCAGAAAAAGTTTAAATGGTTACACAACATGGGGATTACTTAACTAAAGAAAAGCTTTGCAAAGTTTTGGAACTTCTGAAAAGAGATACACACAAACACAATAAAGTCTATCTAACATAACCCTTTATGTATTCCTACCCATGCTTTTATCTGAATAAGGTCTACTTTAGTGCAAACAGACACTTTCCTATAAAGTGTAAATGGAGTGCTACCCTTGCAACCAGAATGCTCCAACTCTCTCCCATCTTCCTGTTGCAGGCTTCTTACAGAGAACAAAAGCCTAAAGTTACAGAACCACAAGTACCTGTCATTAAGGCTTAATCCTTTGAAGTCACTCTGGCCAAATGGATTATTTCTTTAATGGGACATAATCCTTTGATAATATTTGCCATTGCCTCTGGGCAAGAAGGACTTTCCAACAGAACCAGAAAGCAAAGTTTGCCTTGAACCATCTCTAAATAAAAACCAGGTGAATTGGGAAACTACAGTACTTCCCTTTGAAATACAGTCCAGTCACTGAAGTGACCAAGACAATTAAGATGTTTCTGCATTTGGCTTTCCTCCCAGTCCATTTCATGAATTTCTCCATTTTATTTCCTGTAGCCCATTTTCAGTTTTTTTATCCCTTTGCATTAACTCTTTACAACTGTGTATTAAAATTCTAGCATGAATATCTGACTGCAGAACCAAATGTTGAGAGTTTCATTCTTCACTGTGCCTCCTTGGCAAGGGCTGGACTAGATGATCCACAGAGTACCCTTTTAGCTGTGCAGTTCTAAGATTATCTAAGATTACTCACGCTTTGCTCTCTGCTCTGCTACCTTCAAATGAATAGTGATCAAATGATAACGGGAGTTAATATTAAGAATATCAGTCATGCTGTTGCCCAGTTATTTGTTGATTAATCTATTATCCAATTGACTCAAACACATTTTGAGAACAACAGGAATTCAACTGGATACTCATTAATTAGCAGCTATTTGCCATTTTAATTTACATTATTGCACCTACGTTAGCATCAGTGCTGAACTATATTCTGGTCAAATTTTTAAAAACTTCTTTTACACATGTGTTGCTGTTGCAAATATGTTTAAGTTAATTTGAAGGGTTTTTTCGGGGGGTTAATTAGTCCATCTAAAGTTCAGATGATTCGTGTACATGTACAATTATTGCCCAGAATTCTATTCGGAATTTATACCAGTGTTACGTGTAATTGCATAAACTGTGGTAGTGAATTGCCGCAGTAACCAGCAATCATTAATTAGCAGCAATTTACTCCTGGGATTTACACAATTACACTTATGCTGGTGTAAATTCCCTCTGGAATTCTGATCATTATTTAAGGGCAGGATGCGCACCTAAGTACTACATTTAAATATTTACCACATATTTTTCTATACTCTGCGGGCAGAAGGTTTTGATTTCCAATGTGTACTGCAACTGCTTATGCTGTGGTGAGATGAATAGTTTTCTCTTTAATGTGAAATTAAACGTTTTTATGTTTTTATAAACTGATAACAAATTCGTGATAGTCATAAAAGCAGTTGTCAGGAATGGAAGATAAATACACCAACATTCAATTCCGTAGACAACATTAGCTAAGATCCAGATATGCCCCCACTCCATATGTCACTGATATGAATAAAACCATTATCAGCAATATTATGCAAACAAAGTGCCAGCTGTATAGAAATAGTGCAAACATATCAGCTTACCAAAGGCTAGAAATAGATAGTTATCCTTTGCAATTGTATCATCTTTTCAGGAAGGAAAAAAGCAATTGGAGACATTGTGTTATCTAATTCGCCTGTATCCACCTACCAGGAAATAATCCCCTTTAAACCAAGTGGGAGTTACAGGATACAGACCTGGTTAAGTTACCAACAAATCTTTGTCTATGTGGGTGTGTTCATGCGTACACATACATGCATATGTATGGATATCTGCACTTAAAGGACATTAGAACTATAGAATGGATGGTAAGAGGGAAAAAGAATGTTGCACTAGCCTTAAATCTTTTATATAAAAATGCTATTTACTAGGTGAAAGCATATCTATGACAGGATTATTAGCGCTACTAAGTAAGACTCTGCCTCAGCAACCCTTGTAGCTTTCCCCACCAGGAAACAATAATACGTTATGGTCTTGGGGCATAAACCACTCTTTGCTTAAGACCAAGTCTGAAGTACCATGTTGCACCTGCAGTTGTGAAGTAAGAAAACAAAAACTTTTCACTCCAAGTAGCTTACCTGTTCAGATCATTTCTACTACGGGCACAGGGGTCAGTGTGCCCAAGATGATAATGGTCTTGGCTCCATCGCTGTGGTGCCCGCTTCCACAACCCTTCCTTCTGCTGTCTGATATTTCTGTCTGGTCGCTCATAATGGTTCATATTTTCACAATCCACTACACAGATCAAAGTTATTTCAACATTAGTTTATGAAGGGAACTATCATCACTCAGAACTCCAAACTAGCTGATAGGTTCTACCCATCACTGATTTAGGTAGATAATTAAAGATTGGAAGTGATGTGAGGCAAATGAAAATAACTGAAAACTCATCTTAGTTACAATTAAAATGGTAGCTAAAAGAAATCTAACATTAGATCTCAAGAAAGCAATTTGACCCCACAAAGTTGCTCCGTCAGTTAACAGATTTAATTCTTCAGTCAATCAAGATGAAGAATAATTTGTAAAAGACAAATGCTGCTTAGAGAATTTTGCAGAATCTTTTTGTTCTGATTCTCTGTCATCAGAAAGTTAAGATTTAGGACAACATTTAAAAGGAACACAAAGAGCTATTCAGTTTATACGAAGAAACTTTCTTTTTAATACTTTTATAGCTGGCTATTTAAACTGGGTTTGGTTTTGGTCTTTACAAAAAGGTTTTAGACAATATACTCCACTATACAAGATGAAACTGAGATTTCAGAGTTCTCACAGTATACATGAACAAAGTTTTGGTATTCAAAAGCTGTATTCAGCAGCTATTTATAAATTGTTAAATGTTATGCCAATATCTAAATTGAAGCCAGATATGAAGAGTTTTAAGAAACCCTTCAGGCTTTTTACTTACCAAAACAGTGTCTCTTCACATTGTCAGATCCTGATTACAAGAAACTTTTCATAAGTGAGACGTCTGTTAGTCTGCTGCCTACTCAGACATAGTTTTGCATAAAACTGTGGTAAACAGGCCTTCCTTCCTGCCCATTGCCTGCTTACGTATTGTTGGGAAATGAGCCCAGTTTGACCCTGTGATTTAGAACTACGTCCTCCTTCACTGAATACATACTTGTTCCGCTACAACGACTGCTATAAATAGAGTGCAAGCTCCATCACAGACGCCAGAAAGGAATAAGAAAATAAGAGGCCTACAAACTACTCCAGCACTTGTTTCAGGCAATGTCTGTACAATGATTGTGAGCTGCAAGGTGCATTTCAATGTTCAGTGCAATCCTACAAGCAGCTCTTCAACAGATACTTGAACTCCTTTTCAATTTAACAGTTTTCACAAATCAATCCAAAGGTAACAGAATTTACAGAAAATACTTTTATACTAATCTGGCAAAGCTGCTTTTTTAAAAAAAGCATTTCATGATTTTAACATAACTATTTTGTTATATAAATATACACAACCTACCAAGAATTTAAATTAAAAGTACTGAGAAATTTGAAAACTGAAGCCTACTGAAAAAAACATACTGCCAATGTGATGCATAAACAGAGGGTGAGTTTTATTTATATAGATCAACACACACAATACTACTTGTTCAAGTGGAAAAAAACTCACAGTATTATGACTTTCCATTCAGTAGAAACTCAGTGGATATTGGACCAAAACATTAAGCAAAACTAGATATTAAGCAAAACTATAGATGTACAGTACTATTTGGAAAAGGTTCAGTGATAATGCAGTTTAAAACCAAATCACTTTTGAATTGATAATTCAGAAAGTTATATAGTACTATTAGCAGCAGCAGTAGTCATTTTTATGTTTTCTCTGAATATAGTTATGAAGGTGAGCAGAGAGATTCGGTGCTGCTGGTAGTATTTTATTATTTATTAAAATATTTTACCCCATCTTTCTCCTTAAAAAGGACACAAGGCAACTCACATTATTAAAAGAAAATATTTAAAGGTAAACACAATAAGCGTATAAATATTTAAAAAAGAACAAATACTATTTTGAGAAATTGAAAACAAAAGCAATAATAAAAACATTCTAAGCATTAATGCATAACAATCCATTTAAAAATCCCATTTGGGCAGCCAGTCACAAAGGGAAAGCTCGTCTGAAGAGAAAGGCATTTGCCTGCTTGCGGAAGGATAGCAAAGATGGGGCCAGTCTGTCCTCCTGTAGGAGGGCGTTCCAAAGTCTGGGCGCATACCTAGGAGCATCCTAAGATGAAACTAGAAAATACATTTAACAGTGCTGAAAGATGTCTGCCTGTCATAGTATACTATTGTGCATTTGTATGATTTGTTTTGTAATACTGGAAGTTCCACGGGCTTAACTTGCAAATTTAACAGCTACAGTATGTATTTCTAAGAAAACTGCAGTATGAGAAGGAAAACAGGTTAACCACAAGGAGTGTGCATTCTGTTTAACATTTAGCTTCACTACTAAATTTAAGGGAAATTGTGGTTGTGTATAACAAGGAGACAAGCTAATAAAGGAGAACACCTTTATTAGCTTGTCTCCTTGTTATACACAACAGGGAGAGAATGACAAGGAAGACATTGGAATTATTTCACTAACCATTGTCACAGGGTGTATCTTCAGGTAAGTCAACATCAAGCATAAGATCATCATCTTCAAGATCACATGAATCAAGGTTATTCAAGATATCCTACAAGGAAAAAAAGCATATTTATTTCTGTTTGTTTCTTTGACCTACGTGCATTTTGGAAGTAAAAATGTTATAGAAATTCTCGCTATTGGACACACTAAGCACCAAAGTGAAAAGAAACTTAAAAAGCCAAAGCTGGGGAGGGCAGGTAAGAATGCTATCTCACATTTAGGAACTGCTAGGACAGTTCGATCCCTCTGCCTTCTTTATAAAGATCTAGGCTATAGTACTTAGTTTTCTACACATAAGTACTGTAAGTGTATTTGAAGCTGAGGGTGTAAAGGCATCAATAAAGGCCATATATGTCCCTATGTCATATTCTTGGGCATGAACAGCTGCAGAGTTAGTTATTCAATGAAACAAATTATTCAAATCAATTCAGTAGATTCATCTACAGAAGCTTAGTCTAAAATATGGGAACAAAAAACCTCAAAAAGAATTTGAAAATACATCTCTATATTCCTATACAGTCTTCCCAATGTATAGGTCCAGTTTGTAGTAAAGCTACAAGTTTACTGTATTTATGTTATAAATTCTTACAAGCAGTAATAAGGAGAATGTAATGGGGAAGTCTTAATAGAAAATTAATTTGTTAGTAAAAGAATGTCTATCAAGAGAACAGCTATTTCAATAAATATTGTACAATTTAAAAAACTTGTCCAGTTCTGACATTCAGTTGACTCATCTAATTAAAACTGTAAAGTGACAAGAGTGTGAGAAGCAAACTAGTTACAGTACTAGAGTACAATATGAAGTTATTAACAGCATAATTCCTGGTTCATTCACTGGACTGTGTCACAGTGTCAGTTCAAATATGTAACCAAGAAATAGTAAATGTACCTTGCTATCTTAAAATTGTCACCTAAAATGTGTGACAGAAAGAAAGCTTGTCTGATGATTAAAACATTAATACTATCCCAAGAGAGCGCCAATAACCTACTTTCAATATATAAAGCTCTAATTTATGGTGTTGAATTCTGAACTGCATGTTAGTGTTTCCTGACACAAGTTGCCCCACTAAAACAGCAAAATCCATACCTTTAAAAGAAAAAAAAGGAAGATAAATAGTACAAACACTTCACAGTGAGGGAACCATGAACAAGAGCCAGAGGCTGGACACAGGTTCATTACTGCAGCTACCATGGCAACCAAGGGTAAGTATGGGAGCCCTTTCAACCTAATCATCTTGCTATCCAATCAGGGAGGAGCATCCACCCACCTTGCCATTATCATCTTCACTCTCCCTGAAACTTAACTAAATAATTTTATGAACAAATAAGTGTGTAGTCATGTAAGAAACAAACACTACTATTCGCCCGTAATACCACCACCTCTCTGTCCTCTCTTACTGATTATGGCAAGCAAAAACAACAATAAAAATATTTTGCTGAATTAGAAATTAGAGAAAAGCTCATTTGGACAAACATCATCTACTTGCATTTCAGAAGCAATTCAGTATTTTTCCACTGGAATTTCTTGACAAAGCTTACCCAAACTCATAATACTACGGTTGTTAAGCATAAATGTAATACAGATGTACATTTTTTCATACAAATGTAGAAACAGCTGAGCATAGTAACAATTCCTCACACTGATAATGAGGAAGGATTCATTTTTTAGAACAGTTGGTTCAAACCATTAAAATATGCTCTTTACTAAGCAAAACAGAAGTAAACCACAACAGAACTCACTAGAATACTACATGAAATACAGTGGTGCCTCACATTACGACGTTAATTCGTTCCAGCGAAATCGCTGTAAAACGAAAACGTCGTAATGTGATTTTGAAAAGCCCATAGGAATGTGTTAAAACCCGATTAATGCGTTCCTAGGGGCTTGAAACTCACCATCCAGCGAAGATCCTCCATAGCGCGGCCATTTTCGCTGCCTGTGCAGCGAGGAATTCATCCCAGAAAACAGCGGGTGGCCATTTTGTTTACCCGGTGGCCATTTTGAAACCGCCAATCAGCTGGCCGAAAATCATCGCTTTGCAATGATCGGTTCCCGAAGCAGGGAACCGATCATAGCAAAGTGAAATTCCCCCATAGGGAACATAATTTTGCAGTCGCTTTCGCAAAAACATCAACGACTAGCGATTTCGTCGTCAAACGGAGGGCCCGTTAAGCGAGGCACCACTGTACTTCTCCATTTTGTCCAAGAAATTTTTTGCTTATTCATTCCAAATTTTTTACCTACTGTAACAAAAGAATGCTTTACATCGACAACTATGAATATTTTTATGAAAAAACATCATACATTGGTGTAAATGAACAAGGTGCAAGACCAGGCATGGAATTTCTGATTTTTTTTAACCCACTACAACTAGAAGATTTTGGTAAGAATCCCTATGTCTACAACTTTGACAGTTTTAGTAAAAAAATAAATAAAAATCCAAGCTCTCAGAGAAATTGCAAGATATACCCCTGTTCCCTGCCAAGGCTCTCTCTGCAGAGGGCCATTAAAGCATAGAGAAGGACATGGGCAGAGCTTTCTAAATTCATGGGATTAGCAAAGTATTAGGGAATGGTAGTTCCGCTGCTAATCAGGCGTTGTAGAATATGCCTCTCAAAAAACTACCAGACGCCTAAAGCTTTGCTGTTAGCAGAGAACTTTAAAAAACTCCACCACAAGCTCCTCATTGCTTTAATGGCCCTCTGCAGACCAAGGCTTGGAAAGGATTAGATGTGTATTCTGAAATTCCTCTAAGAACTTGGCCACTTCTTCAAACTTAGTGTCAAGGTTTCTTATCCGTAAAGAAACACCAGTAGCTTCTGCTAAGACATGCAAAACTTCTACCTGATGAAGTACCCAGGACAAACCCTAGTTCTTGCCATGCAAAGTTCAGCAGAGCTTACAAGTGAGAACTCTGTCACCTACAATGAATTTGCAGTTATGCAAATAGTTACAAATATCAGAATTATATATTTTACATCTCACTCTAAGAATACAGGAGCAGATGAAAACACTTATCCTTTCAATACTTGAACATGGAAACAACAAACTATGTTCCTGTGCTGCCATCTAGCCTTCATCCATGAACTGACCAAACACTATATGAAAATGTTCACCACAACAGCTCAACCAAGTTTACAAAGAATTCATGACACTAATGACTAAAGCTACTCTTTCAAACAACAAATTTTACTTTACTGAAACTATTAGCATTAAAATGTCTGTACTTCTATACATCTATGTGACTCGTTACAATTACTTACAAATGCCGTATACATAAATAAAGCCTCAGGAAACGTATGATGGCTTCTTGTATCTCATAAATGAAAGCTTCTAAAAAGAGGACTGTCACATCCTGCATATACATTCTTATCCCAGATAATGAACAAGAAAGATAGTACATGCTGTTTTATTGAGAATGTCTATATCTAAGTAGGAAAAGTTATTTTTTTTTCCAAGAAGGTTAACTACTTATATTGTAGACAAAAAATTTTCCACATTTGACTTCAGCAGTGAGCGCTAGCAGAACAAGGGTTCACTTACTTTGTTCAGCCTTGCAGAAATCCAGTTATGGCATTCCAAATAACAAACTTTCCTAATCTTAGTAAAAGTAAAATAAAATTAGCACAAATTTCAACCCTGTCTGATTTCTAACATTCAGAGAATGAGTGTGTGAGAGAGTGTGAGTGAGTAAGAGAGAGAGAGAGAGAGAGCGCGCACACACACACACACACACACTTAGAAAGATGGAATAAAAATATTTTAAATAAATAAAATATCAAAAGCAGTAAACTAGCCCAAGCTGTGATTTGACTGTTACTTCAGATTGCTAAAAGGAGGACAGGATGCCACATAGAAGCCAAACTAATTCTTTGTTTTTGTCTTCACTGTGAAAGGCCACCGCATATGAACTATGCCACATAGAAGCCAAACTAATTCTTTGTTTTTGTCTTCACTGTGAAAGACCACCGCATATGAACTGATTTTTGTCAGAGAGGGCCTCTGAAAATCAATACATTGTTAAAATGTTTTTTGGTTTTAACAAAAAGCCCTACATGAGAGTTTCAATTCAAAGTTAGAGCTCAAGGATCTTATTGTGTAACTAGGATTATGAATTCTAATTCTGTGTTATGAAACTATACTCACATAAACTATTGTTTAAACGTTTTCAAATTTGATTCCAATTGTTCTTGGATTGAGGCCTTAGGCTCCACAGTTTCTATACAGATTACTTAGGTTAATCTTTCTCTCTCCCCAACTACTCAGTATATTACTCAATCTACAACACTTGTTCCAAAACTGGGGGATGTGGCCCCCCCAGAGAAGGAGTGAGGCCAAGATTTCCATGAAGAAAAACAGTAATTTTTATCAACTTTAATTTTCTGCAATATATACCTTTACTATTTTTTACAAGTAAAACTTTTTATTTCTAATTTAAAATATTTTTTACTTTTGTGTTCACTTTAAAATTTGGTGTATGGGGGTGTGGGTGTGGGAAAGAGTGTGTGTATGTGCATGTTAATAGGAGGCTTGATTATCATAGTGGAACGGTGTGAACGTTTTGCAAAGATTAAAAGGGGAGGTTATGCTGAAAAGACTGACACATTTTTCAGGTTCAGACACTTTATGAAAATTCTACAGTTTCCAAACTGCATAAACTGGAGATTTTGTCTCCAGGGAGGAGCATATACTTTTTAACAGCAATATATGGAAATGAGAAATAACAGATCTCATGAGCCCTATTTTTCTAACTCTAACTGAAATTATTAAAAATATAAGAGATAAAGAGTGGCAGAAATTAATAGAAAGGGCTATCAAGAAGAGAAGAGAGTCAGATACTTAGGGATTCAAATTACAAAGAAAACTAGTACATTATTCAAAGATAATTATATGAAGTTATTAAAGAGATGCATAATAGTTTAGAGAGATGGGATAAATTACAGCTATCATTGATGGGAAGAATAGCAACCATCAAAAAGAATGTGCTACCTAAAATTTTATTTTATTCCAGACAATTCCCATAATATTAAAACAGTCATTTTTCCAAG